TATCAAAAGACTTTATTTAAAAATATTTAAATAGAAAATTGTTTCTTCTTAAAATTTCTTTTTTGTAATATTTTTGAAGAAAGTATATTGACATTTAAAGCGTGTTTGGCCAACGTTCTAAGACACTGTTTTATTATATATGTCGTCTGACAGCGAGTTGTGTTTAATCAGATTATGCACCGATTAATCGGTATGCGAAATTACATGGATTTGAATTTGTTAACATATATATATTGATAGTCATATATTAAAACATATAAAAATAATGCAAAACAGAAAATAAACCAAGAAAAGACTAATAAACATGCAAATGAGCATGATATAAGTAATTTAAATAACCACTTAAGCTATTAAACTAATAATATAACAAGTTTAAGCACGAAAATAGTTCTTCACCTGCAGCAACAATTGTGAATGTCAATGAAATAAGTATGCCAAAGGAAGAAACAACTTCAAAGGTAACATGATAGCACTAGTACATAAGTTTTTTTTTTGGGAGTATAGATAAGCGCTTGATAGTTTACTTCTTGGTTACTTTTGGTCAAAGAGGACCTTTGATAAGCATGTGACATGACCATTGATGGCTTAATAGTTTACTAGTGGACTGTGGAGTCCTCTAATAGTTATAAAGGATAAAAAACAAAGGGAGTTGGACGGTTGTTCTACTCCATTAAAAAAGTTAGAAATCACTTGGATCAGTGCATAAGAAAAAAACATTGACAGAGGGAATAGAAGACATCTGCCTTAAGCATTAAAAAAATTCAAAAATGCGTATTTTTTAGCATAAATTTTTTTATTAGAGACACAATAAAATGACAGTTTTTACTAAATGACACATGACTCTGATACCAATGTTAGAATCTAGAGGATAACCAATGAATCGGAAATGCGAAATTAGAATGTTACTGATTTGAAGCGTTCCAGGATCTTTATCGTTGCTGGCCAGATTCATGCACTCCACGATAATCGCCATCGAACTCCCTTTTACAGTGACGAAATAGAAATACGATTCACAACTCAAATAACAGTTTTGAAGCGATTTTCACATGCTCGCTTCGTTTTGAAGCTGTACACAAGTACTCAGCCGAGTAATCGCCTGATTAATATGTGTTTCTGAACAATATGTTTGGCAAATTGTCAGTGTGGCTTATAGAACACTTTGGGATGTTTGGCAAGTGGTTTATTTTAACTTTTAATCCACCAAAAAATAAGATAGGGTACTTAGCTTATTTTTTGGTGGATTATGAGCCACAAGGTTTGACCAAATAAAAGACAAATATACTCCTCATCATTTCACAAAATTCCGAGCCATGCCTTTTTGGTGGATTATAAGCCATGACCTTTTTGGTCATTTTGACAACAATGAGGATTATAATCCACCCATTTAACAAACACGTTACTTTTGAAAATGGATTATAATCCACTAAATTTACTAAACACTATGGATTATAATCCACGAGGGTTATAATACATTTGTGATTATAAGCTAAGTGGATTACGATCCAAAGTTGCCAAATATGCTCTTAA